GTCATAAAAAAGTACTTTCAAAACTGTAGTGACTAATACTGACATAGCCACGGTGGTGATTGAAATGCTACAATGATGTGTTCTTAACTTTTGGTATTGTTTTCTTGACTTGATTCTCATTACTTGTATTTGCAGGATGTGGCTTCTTTTTATCGTGTTAGTAGTTAGTTAGTTAGTTGTGAGTTTGCAGTAAGAACATTACATCTCTCCTATGATTCAAACATACTGAGCCCACCCTCAAAAACAAAAAGCACCCATTGTGGCTCCAACAAAGACTATTATGTTATTACAAACTCTAAAATACAACCAAAGAAAAACAGGTAAATTTGACCACCGCACACTGAAAAACTTTACTGAATCTTTGTTCTGAGTGAGCAACAATCAGAGGGAGCTACAGGCGAAACGTGTTGCTTGCTCACAAAGATTCTGTAGTAAGTTGTACGTTTTTCAGCATGCGGTGGTCTATTCCCTGTTTTACTTTAAATGTTCCTGCTAACAACCTGCACCTCACGATCACACTGGCTGTGCACAAGGAGATCCTTTTGTTGGTTTACTCTAAAATACAATGTTACAATGATGTAGGCCTTGGGGCCATGTAGACATTGCCTTCAGTGCATTGGTTCCTGTAAATGAACACATACCTTCACAAGGAATACATTTTCAAATCTTCTTGGTAGCCTTTTTACCTAAACCTAACCGTAACCTCATCTTTCAAACAATTAGGCATATCTGTGTTGACTGTCTTAGTTTGAATTGACAAAAAAGGTTAGAAATCCTTACTCTAACTTCATTGTTGTGACAGAGGTAGGAAAATAAATGTGTAAACCAAAAAATGTAATTTATTACATACCTGTACTCTTTATCATAAGACCTGGAGAAGATTCTTTTTGACTGTCTTCATTGACAGATGGTTCATCTAAAAAAAGGAAAAATTCAATAAATCTTTGATAGACAATTACAAATGTAATATTCTACAACACTGAAAAAAGTCTTACATATTATCAAAGTAATAAAAGTGCACTACATACCCATTTGGTAGTCGGGATAAAAAAATTTTTGGCCTCCTCTTCGTTGGTAACTCCTCTTCTGAGCCACTCAATTCAGCAGTTGTAGTAAAATCATATTTCTCGCATTCATTCTTGTCATCTGAAAGTACATACAGAAATGGTAAAATGCATACAAATGAGTAAGTCTTAATATACTACAGCAACTGGGTAAAAATGCAGGTTTGGCTATTATAAAATACTTCATTTTTTATATAAGCGGATATCATCTTGCATGCCAACAGTCAACAATATACTGAGGCTATTGAATGACAATATTGTTTTTTTATTGCATATGATATGATTTTGTGAGGAGGACTAAATAAGCTCTTCTCCTGTTTCCTCTCGAATATATTTTGTAGTTGTTTTTTTCTGGATGAGACTGTTTATTTGTGTTTGTGCTTCGGACATTTAGTTACTTTTAATTTTATGGTTATTTTGTCGTTGTTCTTGTTTGAGATAAAACCAAACAATAAAACTCCCATAATACACACACACAAGCAAAACTGACATTATAGCAGGCTAGAAATTACTAAACATACATAGGAGACAGATAGAGATACTTAAAAGTTCATGTCAAAGAGAAAAATGAAGAAATGTCCATATGTATGTGCTGACGATTTGAAATTTGCCTTACGTTCATATATGACATAAGTCCTTACAAAACACATACCTGACTGAATCTTCATTTTCATTAACGGGAATTTCGTCCATGACTCTTCAGGATCTTTGCAGGCATTCAACGCTCTCGCAGCTCCTTGTGGAGGCCATAGTACACCACCATTCTTAACCCAACATGATGGTATCACTTCCTCCATCTCCATGGTCTCCTCTCTCCACACCGCTCTGGTCCACATTGTTCTGGTCTATAGAAAAAACAAGAGAAAACTCAGAACAATGATATCCAACAGTTAAAGTGAATAACCATAATTATATTATAACTAAAAACTTCTAACATTAAAAGATTAACAGCTATTAGTGGACTTACTCTTTTCTTCTGTCACTTATCCTAGGCTGATTAGTTCCTTTCACTGCCATGAAGCAATGGCACAAATACATAGCCACTTTTGTATGATAGACAAACTGCCTTGTGCTTCAGTTTTTCTCCCTCAATCAGTTCTCGTTTGCGGTTCCCCTCTTTCATCGCGCAGTACAGCAATGTTAATCAGTTTTGAGTCGCATGGACTGGTGAAGAATCTGTCCAAAGCATTGAGACTGTATACATCACACACACACGTTCTGGCCTTCTTTCCTTTACCAAGGCAAAGGCATGTTCCAAAAAAAAACAGGAGTCCTTCTTCTTAGTTGACACAAATGTCCCAAGTGCTGCTGATGAGACATGAATTTTGCATTGTCCATTTCTGCTATCCTCTTCGATAGTTGTGCAATTGGGTTTTTTTGCATTTCTGACACTTTTCAAACTGAAAGGCAGAGATGTCATTCAAAGATGTTACAAAGTGCCTTGCATCTTCAGCCAAGTGGATCAGGGTATGGACACAGGATGGAAATATTGGGCTGTAGAGCTTGGTAGATGTTCTATAAAAAATATACTAGAAGCTCTTCAGCGTAGCCAATGGATGACATCCATGTAATGCCGTTGGAGTCCAACAGTACAGACATGGCAACTGACAGTGTCAAAAAGTGATGGTAAAACTGTTTTGCAGAATGCCTCGGAGAACAACAGGTCCAGTATAGAGTAAAAACTGCCTGAATTCTGTCGCTTTCCATCTGTCCAGATCAGTTAGACTTCGTGGCTGTCGGGCAAATTCTCTTGGCAGCTTTCCACTGAGGGACAAGAGTTTTGCTGAAATTTCTCCAATTTGCCTTGGGTACAGCCTACACTCTCTAGGTCCCTGTTTTAGAAAGTTCAGCAATCATCTGACAACCCCTAGGCAGACAACATGCATATAATCCAGCACAAACTGCAAGCCTGCAGTGGTCAGGGGTGAACAACCAGTTTGGTGGATGGGATATGCCTGTTTGCTGAAGTCATCTTCTGTTCTTGCATCAATCTTCTCCTGCGACTGGTAGTTGAATACAACCCTGTGACTTACATAATGTCCTTCAATGGTGCACCGCTCACAGCTGCTGTAGGCATTGTGGGACTGGGGCATCACAAATGAAAGCATTCACTTTAACATTTAATGTTTCATTTTGGAACTCAACCCCATGTTGTTGAGTGCCTGCAGTTCTGTTAAAAAACTAGACGTGTAATCAGTAAGGCTGTTTGGCTTTGCAGTTCCACAAAATAGTGCAACGATAAACGGCTCAAACTTTTCCACACTACAAAGAATGGGCCAAATTTGTACATTGGATGATTTAAACAATGGCACACCATCTACACTGAAATGTAGCAGTATCATTTTCTGTTAAAAAGAAATCGGGATACTGTGAGCACATTTTCAAAAGTCCCGTCTCCACACTGAAGTAGAGGAACTGGCCACCACACAGATCCCTGACTTCTATTTGAGTTGGAGTTCCTAACAGGGTTCTGGCATCTTTTGGCAGCTGGTGGCCATGTTTACGTAACACCAAGAGCACCTCATCAACTGATGTGCGCTTTGCCTTATTTTTTACAGCCCATTTTGCCAAATCACTTCTTAGATCACTTGATTCCTCCTCGGACAAAGTTCCAATTTTTTAATCACTTTCACCATTACTGTCTGGCTGGTGGTGATCATCTCGATACTCGTCTTCTCCTGTATCAGACTGCTCCTGTGTCTGCATGTCTGTTGGGCTATCATCAAAAGAGGGGCCTGGATTCTCATCTGAGGGACCTGGATTCTCATCTGAGGGACCTGGATTCTCATCTGAGGGGCCTGGATTCTCATCTGATGGACCTGGATTCTCATCTGAGGGACCTGGATTCTCATCTGAGGGGCCTGGATTCTCATCTGATGGACCTGGATTCTCATCTGAGGGGCCTGGATTCTCATCTGAGGGGCCTGGATTCTCATCTGATGGACCTCGATTCTCATCTGAGGGGCCTGGATTCTCATCTGATGGACCTGGATTCTCATCTGATGGACCTGGATTCTCATCTGAGGGGCCTGGATTCTCATCTGAGGGACCTGGATTCTCATCTGAGGGACTAGACTCCACCAATGCGCGTAATTGTGCATTTTGTTGTCTCCATTTTTTGTGATACATCTGGGAGAAAATAAAAACTAAATATTTCTAAGCACTAATGTTTTATAAAGAAAATCATTCAATTTGAAAATAAGTCATAAAAACATTCAATCAAATGAGGTAGGCTGTACTAATCATGTTTTATAATATCTTCCATATCGACCTGTATTTAAATTTTACAAAAATGTAAAAAAAATTTTTAGTTTTAAAGGTTACAGTAAGTTACTTTCAGATTCAAATAGATGGTTGGGTTAGGTTTGGTGACAACTCACCGTTGAAGGAGACTTTCAGGTGTTCTTCCAAATCTCGACACCACACAGAAACAGGAAATGTATGAAATGCAACAAAAATGCAATTTACTCACTGCGCCGGTTAAACTAGTCTGCCCGTACAGACACACACACACACACACACACACACACACACACACACACACACAGCGGTTGGTCTTAGTCTGCCGTACAAACAATATTAACGTTAATTAACACAATACGTAACGTTATTAATATATGAGTCAGGCACACTCAAAATTTCTTTGGGAATTTTCTAGTTATAAAATGTAATTTCAAAAACTTTGCTTACCGTTTTAGAGTTGTAATTAGCTGTTGCCAAAGTTAGTCCGAACCGGTCCAGGTCAGAATCTGCTTTGCCTGGATGAAGACAGATCCACTTCGCGCATGCACAAGCGGGTGTTGTCTGGAACCGTCAGAGCCAATAGAATCCAGTTCTAACCGCCGTCCTCCAATCAAGCCCTTGTATTGATCCCAAATGATCAATATCTGCAGTCTGATTGATCATTCAGTCCACGGAGTTGCTCTCAAAGTACGCCGGGAGATAGCGACTCAACAAACGTTTAATTCAGAGTGGATCTTTCAACGTTGTATCATTATTCATGTATCAACACTTTTTCAACAGTTAATTGATCAGCATTGTTTGGATGTTGGAACAACGTTATTTTTCTACAGATATATTTCAAGAAAAGTTGTAATTTGACGTAGAACTCAAAAACTGTTGATATTTCAATGTTGAATTTGATGAGTTAACAACACCACTTCAACTATTTGGTGTTCAACGTTGTTGGACGTCGAATTAACGTTTTTTCATAAACTGGACATTATTTCAACATTTAAACGTTTAATGTCAGCTGGTTACCTGCTGACTACC